TGGCCCCTAGCTGCCCTTCAGGTCTGGAATTGAACCCACACCTGTGGTTTCCAGCCAAACAAAATACAGGTATATGAATTGAACATTTACCTCAAGTAGATACACTCCTTGGAGAGAACAATCATGGCAGAAAGAAAGGCTGCTTATGCACTGGGAAACAGCTCAGGAGGCAGGAGTGTACGGAGGAATGGACACCGGGAAGAGGTAACTATGGGGAGGAAGTGGGAGGGGAGCTGTTGTATTGTGGTAAACTGCGGTCAATGATAGGAGACAAAGTATATGTAAACTGCTGTATGGAAAGTGAATTTGCTCTGTAAATCTTCACCCAAATCACAATAAAAATAAATAAATAAATAAAAAGAATGGCTAGACTTCGTCTCACCTACTTTGGTCACGTTGTCAGAAGGGACCATTCCTTGGAGAAGATATCATGCTTGGTAAAGTAGAGGGTCAGCAAAAAGTGGAAGACCCTCACTGAGATGCACTGACACTGTGGCTGCAACAATGGGCTCAAGTATAGCAAGGATTGTGAGGTTGGCACAGGACTGCTATACACAGCGTGCTATGAGTTGAAGCCAACTCGAAAGAACCTAAAAATTCTAGTAACTGTGAAAAAGAAAACAGGTGAATGAATTATTTCCTTAAGAAACATCTAAAAAGTGAAAGAAAATATGAAAATAATTGTTGAGGAAATTTATGGATTTCTCCAAGTTCAACCCCTGAAACATAGACATTTTCCTTAAAACTTTTAAGGAATAAATGATGAGTATATCATATTTTAACTTTGTGAGAATATAAAAAAGAAAATATCCCAAGTAAATTTTACAAAGTCAACAAGGCCATACAAAAAAGGTAACAGCAAAAAAATACTATAAAACAATCTTTATGAGAAAATCTTTCAGAAAACATTAGCAAATATTCAGCATGATATTAAAAATAAAAATAACCCAACATGTTCACATAAACTCTGTTCCAGAATAAAAGTAAAAAATCTATTCAGGCAACTCCTCAGGTTAACAGGTACTTGCATAAAACACAAAGAATGGTGATCATTGAAAACATGCCCAGAAATGCTGTAAACTTTAATAGATCACCATTTTTTATGAAAATGTAATAAACTGAGAGGCCCTTTCTGTAATAATGTGAAAAACACGTAAGCTCAAACTAACCCCCAATACAACAATGAAAACTAATGTACCACATGTTTTTCTAGTGATGTCTGAACCAGGTGAGGAGAAGCCCACCAGGAAGAAGCATCAGTTCCTTGGTTCAGGAAGGGGGAGCTAACTCAGTTTGTTTGGTGTAACCTCACCAACAACCCTGGTAAGTGCCTGCATATCAATGGCTCTCAAACTTTTTCAATACACCTTCATTCTCTTAAAAATATTGAGGATCCCAAAGAACTTTTGTTTTTATGCATTATACCAATTGATTCTACCACATGCAAAATTGAAACAGAAACCTTCTAAGTATTAGTTCATTTAAAAATAACAATGATAAACCCATTTCACATCAACATAAGTAGTATATTATTTATGAAAAATAATTACATTTTCTAAAAAAACAAAAATAGAAAAGTGGCATTCAATCTGCTGTGAGATGTTTTACAGAAAGCATATGAAAGAAAAACCAACCTTACACAGACACATACTTAGAGAAGGAAGGACCCACAGACACCCTGAAAGGGTCTCAGGGACCCCAGCAGTCCTCAGAGCACACACTGAGAACCACTGATGTATACATGCACTTGCTGTGTTTTTATATGCATATAAAGCAGTCTAGAAGGACACACATCTAACCTACAACTGATTTCACCTGTTTGAGACTTCTGTGCAGGGCTTCAAACTACTTTGAACTGGTTCTGTCATGGCCAACAAAGTGAAAAGGAATAAACCCAAATTTTTTAAATTTGGTTGATTTGGAATAACAACCAGAATGGGAAAAACTGTAAGTTGAAGCCCTGAAATGGGAGATGCAGAAAAGGCATAGTGAGCCCTTTTAGGAGCTTGATGGGTAAGAATGGATTACTGGCAGGACTGTGGAAGGCGACACTCATTCAAAGCAGTGCAGTCAGCCACCATCTCTGAGTGGGGTACCATTTCCGACTCTGTTGGACAAGAGGGACAGAGATTTAGTTGCTATGCAATATGTATGCTGCCCTTGTTTTCTAAGAGAAAGATTTCTCTTAGGTTTCGACGTGTAAGTTTTTTCCTATTCCAGTTATCACTCTGGTTCACTCAAATTTTAAAAATTTTAAAAAGTCAGGTCTATTCTGGTTTCACTTCCTCAGCCATGACTGAACCAGTCCTGCCTCTGTGTCATAAAATATTCAAAACAACCACATAGTACTTTTGGAACTAAAAATTCATCATGGGAATAAAAAAACAAAAAATAATTTTTACAAACAAGGAGCTGAGTCTAGCAACTTCTTGAGACTATTTCCTTAGGGAAGAAGAAGTCAGAGCTTTGCAGACTTCAGTGCCATCTGTCAGGTGTGTTTTAAAGACCATATCAGGGAGCTGCTGAGGCCTTCCCAGACAGCCCTCAGCCACCAACAGCAGCCTCCAAAGGGGTTCTCTGTGCCCACCACCCAAGCATCTGCTACCCTAGGGCCCTGGCCAGTGTGCCACCCTGGGGCTGTGGATGAAACCAGTGTTGCCATCATTCAAGGTAAGGTCATGACTTACTCTGCAGCCACCTCTCATGTCTCAGCTTCAGTTTTTCCTTCTTGGGCAAAATAACCTTTGTCTCTGCATCTGAGGACAGAGAACATGTGGAGATAAGTGAAAGTTTCCTGGAACAGAAAGGTGAGGCCCCTCCCCCACATGGAGCCTGGGAACAAGCAGGCAGCCCAATGCTGAGTGGGTACTACCCAGCATCAGGGTACTGGAGGTCCATGTGGGCCACATGCCGGAATGTCCCCTGATACCAATATTCCTCTGTAATAATGACCCCAGCCACCTACCACTTGCCTGTCCCAGACCTTCCAAGGTATGTGTGTTTACCAACAGGGAGGCCCCAGGTCAAGTCCTCCCTGCCCCATGGCCCCAGCTCTAGGCTGACTTGCGCCTGGGCTGCCATGTCACTAATGAGACAAAGAGGTCAGATTGCTCACAAGGAGACCACCTGGACCACAAAGAACAGAAGTGAGCCAGGCCGTGGCAGTGCAGTCTCTCAGGGATTGCTCTGAGTCTGCGTGTCCTCTAAGCTGCAGGCCAGGAGCCAGGCCCATCTGCCTGGCCCACTGTCTGGTCCTCATGATGCCTCAATGGTGTGTGCTGGGAGCACCTGGGAACCATAGCAAGGCCTGCTGAGGGCCAGGAGAGGCATTACCTGGACCTCTAAGAAGAGGAGTTCTGGAGACTCTGTCCAGGTCTCCGCTGGATACCTTCAAATACCAGGAAATGACCGTCTACGGGCCAGCCACAGGAGACACAGAGAATACATCTCAGCTCTCACTCAGCACCCAAGATCCACAGAACCCCTGCAGTGGTCCAGACTGGCCACCACCACCATGTATTTCCCTCCACATCTCATAACCCCCTGGACTCTCTTCTTCCCACTTACAAGTGGGTACTGGGGGAGGGGGAGGAAGCATCTACAACAGAATGGGATACTCCAGCTCTGAACCCTCACACAGCAGCCACACCTGGCTCACCCCAAACCTGTGGCCCACTGCAAACCACAACAGCAGTCTCCTTGGGGAGACTATTTCCCTTGGGGAGCACCTTTCTCTGCTCTGCCCTCAGCCAGATGGGTCCTTTGGTTGGAAGTGGCCTTCTGAAGCCCATGGTGGCAGTTTGGAGGGAACATGTGTGTTCCCAGCAGGTGGCAGGGATAGAACTGGACATGAGCATGAAAGAGAGGGAAGAAGGGGTTTTTGCATCCTGACAACCAGCCCCTCCAAGACTGTGATGAGCAAGGGCTCCTTCTAGAAGAAACAATAGCTCGATCCTTGGAAACATAAAATCACAAACACATCAGGCAGGGAAAGAGCCCTACCCAAGGGAGGGTGAGGTCATATGGGGGTACCACAATTCATGCCCCACAGCTACGCTTGAACCCCACAATGGCATGTCAAAGCACAGCATTGCACTCCTCCCTGCATAGGAGACCCATATTAGCAATGCTGTCCCCTCCTCTAGGAGCACATTATGCTCCCTACAGGCCTGTTCACTGAGGAGTTACAGAATGAAGTAGGTCTGGTAAAGTCAACACTAATCAACTTAGGAGCACTTACCAGATTTCATACAGGAACCCTATGAATCGGCCCCATTCTATAGATGAATAAATTGAGGCTTGGCAGCAGTTACCTTCTTAAAGTCATGGGACCTTCTGTGGGCAGGACAAGAATGAAGTAGACAGTGGGGTCCATGCAGCTCCCCTGCAGACAGGCCAACAGGTTTTGCTACTCCTCTGATTTCTCACCAAGTCTGGAGGTTTAGTCCAAAATAAACCATGAACCAAAATGCCAAGAGTACACGCACAGCTCCACACTGCAAGAGCGAGCATTTGGCCAGAGCCACTGTGGAGCGCCACATGTTCACTGGTGCCCGCAGGGTAGATGGCAGTGCCACACCAACACCTCCATCAGCACAGAGCCAAAGTTGGGTAAGCAAGACAGGGAGGGCCACCCTGCTTCCAAGAGTCAGGCCCCTAAGCAGGAAGATGGCCAGTACCCAGGGCATGCTCACACTGGACAGACACACTAGCATGTGCTGGTATAAAAACTTCACTGTTTTCTGCTCACAGGACTGGGAAGTGGTCAAGAGATGGACAAAGAAAGGTTAATCTGTGTTGGCAGAAACCACTATCTGGACACACAGAGATTCTGGCCCCAGGAGGACTCAGGCATGGCCAGTAGGTGTCCTAGCATTCTCAGTCAATGCCTCCCCTAAAGATGAGCGGAAAGTCTGGGTAAGTTGCTCTTAGGTGATACAGTGCTACCCCCGCTATTAGTTCTGCACAACAGAGATGGGTCAGTGGGGGACAGATGACAAAATAAACTATCTATAATTCTATAATTTATTATATAAATCTGGAGCAATTATCCTTGCTACTTTGGAATTCCCAGGAGCTCTGGTGGCACTGTGGTTAAAGCATTGGGCTGCTAACCAAAAGGTCAGCAGTTCAAACCCACCAGCCGCTCTGTAAGTGAAAGATGAACCAGCCTGTTTCCATAAAGATGTATAGCCTTGGAAACTCTATAGGGCAGTTTTACTCTGTCCCGTAGGATCACTATGAGTCAGAATCAATTCAGTGGCAGTGGCTTTGGCTTGCTGTTTTTTTTTTTTTTTTTTTTTAATTCCCACAATGATGGGGGAACTAGCTGGCTTATAAGCTGAGAACTGCAGTGTGGCTGAGTTTGCTGTGTCTTATGGGCTTACTTGATCCTCTGGGGGCAGTGATGCAGCTCCCAGGTGGCGGGAGCATGGGAACAGAAAAGCTTCGCTGAGGAGGGGAGAGCAGGCTCCACTGTCAACTCCACCACCTACTTAAGACAGGACGACAGGACATCAGGGCTGTGATGGTAGGGCCACAGGCTTAAATGAACAGAAAGCCTAGAAATGGAAGCCACTAGGTGCCAGGGAAGACAGCTACCTGACCAACTGACTGGAAGAGATCCATATTTGTACCCATTCCAAAGAAAGGTGATCCCACAGAATGTGGAAATTATAGAACAATATCATTAATATCACACGCAAGTAAGATCTTACTGAAGATAATTCAAAAACGTTTGCAGCAATATGTTGACAGAGAACTTCCAAAGGTGCAAGCTGGATTCAGAAGAGGATGTAGAACAAGGGATATCATAACTGCTGTCAGATATATCTTGGCTCAAGGAAAATACCAGAAAGATGTTTACTTGTTTTATTGACTATGCAAAGGCATTTGATTGTGTGGATCATGACAAATTATGGATAACATTGAGAAGAATGGGAATTCCCGAACACTTAATCGTACTCATGAGGAACCTGTACCTTGAACAGGAGGCTGTCATTACAACAGAACAAGGGGACATTACATGGTTTAAAATCAGGAAGGGAGTGCATCAGGGTTGTATCCTTTCCCCACACTTATTCAATCCACATGCTGAGCAAATAATCCGAGAAGCTGGACTATATGAAGAACATGGCATCAGGATTGGAGGAAGAATCATTAATAACCTGAGATACGCAGACGATACAACTTTGCTTGCTGAAAGTGAGGATGACTTGAGGTACTTACTGATGAAGGTTGAAGAATACAGTCTGCAGTATAGATTACGTCTCAATATAAAAAAAACAAAAATCCTCACAACTGGACCAATGAGCAGCACCACAATAAATGGAGAAAAGATTGAGGTTGTCAAAGAATTCACGTTGCTTGGTTCTACAATCGATGCCAATGGAAGTAGCAGTCAGGACATTAGACGACGTGTAGCATTGGGAAGGTCAACCGCGAAGAAACTGTTTCAAGTGCTGAGGAGCAAAGATGTCTCCTTGAGGACTAAGGTGTGCCTGACACAAGCCATGATATTTCCAATCGCCTCGTATGCATGTGAGAGCTGGACGATGAATAAGGAAGACCGAAGAAGAGTTGATGCTTTTGAGTTGTGGTGCTGGCGAAGAATGCTGAAAGTACCATGGACTGCTAAAAGAACTAACAGATCTGTCCTGGAGGAAGTGCACCCAAAATGCTCCTTGGAAGCGAGAATGGCCAGACTTCATCTCACCTACTTTGGTCATGTTGTCAGAAGGGACCATTCCCTGGAGAAGGATGTCATGCTTGGTAGGGTGGGGGGTCGACAAAAGAGGGGAAGGGCTTCAATGAGATGGATTGACACAGTGGCTGCAATGATGGGCTCAAGTATAGCAGGGATCATGGAGCTGGCACGGGATTGGGCAGTGTTTCGTTCTGCTGTGCATGGAGTCACTATGAGTCAGAAATGACTCAATGGCACCTAACAACAACAACAGGTACCAGGGGACAAGAGGGACACAGGAGGGCTAGTCCTAGGGGCTCTGTCTACCCACCTCCATTACAACCTCCAGTCTACTCTGAGAACAACCAGTTCAGGGCCAGCAGTCTCTTGGGCATCAGTTAAGGTTCCTGAGATAGCACAGCTAAAGTATAGGACACATTATACCCAGAACATGTTTTACAAGAGATGTGCTTCTTGTAGTTCATTTTTCCTTCATGCCCAATTCTCCTGGCTAATAAAACAGATCCATGCTGTCTAAAGGCAAAGAACAGAAATGAGTTCTGTCAAGAGAAAGGTACTAATCCTATAAGCCATTTCAGACCTTTCACTTCATGAACTGATGTAAAACCTCCCTGACCTGGACCCCAAGGGAGTTTCATCCCTGCCCAGGAGTCATGCACAGCTCCAGCACATGGTTGTGTGTGCCAGCACCTGCACAGTGCTGGGATGGCACACTTGGAGGTGACCCACCTTCCTCTCTACTCACCCTGAATTCTACAGAGTCCCCCAGGCTCTGCATGTCACTGGACAAGTGAGGGGAACTCAAAGGGCTATGTGGCAAAGCAAGCCAAGGTTTGGTGAGGTAGGTACCTGGGATCATGCTTAGCTTAGTCTGGAGGGGAGATCTGGCCACAGACCCTCCAATGCACCCCCCAGTGCACTGCCTGCCCAAGCACCCCCTGCCTAATACAACCCCCAGAAGAACCCCCACATTGCAGTGCCCACCCAATGCACCCAACATATCCCCTAGCATATTGCCTACCTATGTACTCCTCAGTGTACTGCCTTTCCAATGCAGCCCTAACACACCATTCCCCAATGCTTACCCTGTGCACTACCTGCCCGAGGCACCTCCCAGTGCACCCCCTGCCCAAGGTACTTGGTTGGCCACTGCAGGGAAAGGCAGCCCTTTGCAACCCAGGGGCAACCACTCAGACTGGTGTGGGTGAGGAAGCCATGGGGGCTGGGGAGATCTGCAGGTTTCGAAGACCAAGTGGGATGCTCATAGAGGGGGTATCTGAGGGAGCCCAGTAACTGGCACCTGCCCCCCGGGTTCTGAACTAGTAACAAGCAGAGACAATCTGGAGAATAGGTTCATATCTGGGACAACAAGCTCCCCAGTTCTGGACCCTGAACCCAGACAGACTCATCTCCTCTGTCAATCCAGGCAGTTTCAGCTGGGCTGACCCCTAGCAAGGGCAAGGAGGTAGCTGATCCAGACAGGGAGGAGGAGAAGGCAGGAGCATCCCTCCAAGCAGGGGAAAGACAGGCCCATTGGTCTCCAGAGACCTGGCCCAGAGGCCCAGGAGCAGTAGGACCTTATGTTTGGCTGAGTTCCAGGACTGTCCCTCTTTGTTGTTCCATAAATAGTAGTAAGGCACAGCAGGTCACCTTGGAGGCCATCCAGTCCAGCCCCAGGGGAGGAAAGGAAGGAGAGTAGCAACATGGGGACTGGTGGCAGGTCCTCCTGACCCAGGCCACTGGCATCATCATGCCAAGCTGCCCTCTCCCTTGTGATATCCCTACACAGACCTGTGCCCTAGCAACAGCCTCAGGCACTCTTTATGCTCTAGAGTGCTGGCTGCCCAGCCCATCACCTGCCATCTAGCCAGCACAGCTCCCACCTTCTCTAGGAGTGGGGGACAGACACACACTCAGTACATCCCTAATAAGAGAGGCTGGAAGTAAGATGCCGCTGTGCAGCAGTGAGAACATAAGTTTTAGAGCTCTGATTCTAAGTAGACACACTACCTAACCTGCCTGGGCCTCAGTGTTCTCATCTACAGAAAGGGCTGTATTGAGGGCTAAATAATCCTTTGCTCTTCATTCTCTTTATGGAAACCACACGTAACAAAACTGAGAAAAAAAAAGCTCAGTAAAGGCACTATCTCTCACTGCAGCAGCCATGCTCCTGCATGTGCACTGGCATACCTCTTCCCCCAAGTCCACCACTCACTCGTCAGGTGCTCCTAACTGCTAGACAATTTGG